TCACTCACCTCGGCTTCCCAAGGCGCGGGATTACAGGCTGAGCCACCGAGCCCGGCCCATAAAAACAAATTTTAAATGACCCAAATATGATGGCTCACACCTGTAGTCCCAGCTTCTTGGGAGGCTGGGGTGAGAGGCTCACTTGAGGCCTAAAGTTTGAGGCTGCAGTGAGCTAGGATTGCACCACTGCACTGCAGTCTGGGGGACAGAACAAGACTCCCATCCCTTAAAAAAAAAAAAGAAAGAAAGAAAAGACCAGATGCAGTCGCTCACACCTGTAACCCATCACTTTTGGAGGCAGAGGCAGGAGGATTGCTTGAGCCCAGAAGTTTGAGACCAGCCTGGGCAACATACCAAAGATCTCGTCTCTACAAAAAATAAAAAATTTAGTCAGGAGTGGTGGCATGCACCTGTAGTCCCAGCTGTTCAGGAGGCTGAAGTGGAAGCGTCCTCTGAGTCCAGGAAATTGAGGCTGTGGTGAGCCGTGATTATGCCACTGCACTCCATCCTGGGAGACAGTGCCAGATCCCAATTCAAAAAATAAGATAAAATAAAAACTTGAGCAATCACATAAAACATGAAACCGCACTTCAGCTAGACTAATCGTCCCTGGCTTGGACCTGGGCTCTCTCCCGCCAGTACTTGCTCACTGACTAAACAGCAACTTGAATAATAATGAAGAATCCCAGGGAAATGCTACCTCTGGAAAGGTAAAGATGAGAGCCTACATGCTGGGACCATTCTCTTTGATGGAGTGCCTTATCTACACCCATGAGAACGTCTTCACATCCCGCCAGGGCAGGGACTAAAACAATTTTTAATCTACTGGTTTGTTCACTGACAGAACCCGAGTACTCAGAACGGTGCCTGGTCTGCAGTAGGTGTTCAGTAAATGTGTTGAATAAATGAATGAGGCTAAATCATCTCTTTGAATTTTCCAGAGGTGTGCCCAAAACCCAAGTAACACAGAAGAGAGGCGGGTGCCAACAGAGACTTCCTCTTGTGGATTAGTGCCCTGAATGGGTGCCTTGGGTCGGTTCTTGGGGAGACAGAGTTTGTTTACAGAAAGTTTACTGGGGAGCTATTGCAAGAAAAATATTAATGGGGAAGTGGAGGAAGAAGAACAGAGCAAAGGAGAAACTGAGGTACAATACAGTCCTGACAGCCTCAGACAAAATCCCAAGAAGAGCTCTAGCACTGAGATGGCTCCTAAGGGTTGTCTTGTTCCGAGGAAAATGGACTGGACTTTTATGTATCCCCATCCACCTGCCACTGAATGAGGTCTGCCCTCTGTGGAGTGTGTGACCTTGGGAGACGTGGTTCTCTTAAATAGAGGGCAATTCCTAGATTTAGACTCAGGCGGGAGCCGCCAGCCACCTCTACCTCCAGCAGCTGAAGGAATGAATGCTTCATGCTAAAGGTGGATTCTGATGAGAATATTGCAGCGTCCACCGCAACGGGTTTTTTCTGTGAACCCGGAGAAGGGGAGGTTTTCATAGTTTGTGTCCTGCACACTGGACGAGACTGTTTCATCTTGGCTCTTTGCTAACAGGTCACAGAAACTGATTCCGGCTCTCATAAACTATTGATGTGATAAGAAGGAGATCACACATGGACAGGAAGTGGCACAGAATAAGGCAGGGACACAGGAGAGGGAGCAGAACCAGGATCAGAACAGTTTCTGGGCCCCCTCCTTTGGCCACTGCCCTGGAAATGAGTGTGCTGTTGATCCTTTCAGCTCTTTGATCGGTATGTTAAGTGTCAAGATGGTTAGTTTCATTGGATTTATTTAGTTCACGTGCTCACCATTAGCTAGGGGTGGGCAAGGAGTGGTTTCATCAAAAACCGCACACAATAAGGGCAGGGGGCTATGTCAAAGGGGAAATGTATCCTGAGATGCACATATACACATGCACGCCAACACACAAACCCCAAAATGCCTAATAACTAGCAAGAAGGATAAATTTCTTTTTTCCATCTAATCGAAAAAGTATGAACTCAGACATTGCTTTGCTGCAGAGGGAGTAAGAAACACCTTGGAAAGGGTCACATGACACTTCCAGGTCACCAAAGAAGATGGCATTTTAAAATTTGCAAGATGAAGTCCTGATCATCTAAACAGGTTCATTTCCTAAAGGGGAGAAAAAGAGCATCGATACAGTTTTTCAGAAGATAAAACAATAGGGCATGTTTTCAAGAGTAAGCAAATTAAAATAAGACTCTTCTGTGATTTTTTTTTTTTTGCTGCTGCTTTCCCTTTGCCTTTTTAGTTGAATTAGCCCATAAAAGTTAAGACTAAACAAGGTGTTGGAAAGGAGATGGAGTTTCTTTTTTGTTTGTTTGTTTGTTTAGTTGGAGTCTCACTCTGTCGCCCAGGCTGGAGTGCAGTGGTGTGCTCACTGCCACTGCAGCCTCGACCTGCGGAACCTAGGTGATCCTTCCATCTCAGCCTTCCAAGTAGCTGTAACTACAGGCATGCACTACCATGCCCGGCTTGTTTTTTTATTTATTGTAGAGACGAGGTCTCACCAAGTTGCCCGGGCTAGTCTCAAACCCCTGGGCTTAGGCAATCCTCTCACCTTGGCCTCACAAAATGCTGGGATTACAGGCTGAGCCACCAAGCCCAGCCAAGATGGAGTTTCTGTTTGTTACTTACAGGTGTTGGCATGCCGAGGCTCACAGAAGGTTGTCTTCAGATCACATCCTTGGTGTTGTAAATTGTATGCATGCTGCTATTTCCCCAGGCAATGGGAGGGAGAGCTCATCATGAAGTCCAGCATCAGGCACAGCGTAGTCACTCAATAGGTGTTGGAAGAAAGTAAGGAATGCAGGAAGAGTGCAAACGAGCACGGGCAAGGAAGGTTACTCTTTGACTCACTGGATTTTAAATTACAGGGGGAGGCTGGGCTTAGTGGCTCAGCCTGTAATCCCGCACTTTGGGAGGCCGAGGTGAGTGGATGGCCTGAGCCCGCGGGTTCGAGACCCGCCTGGGCAACTTGGTGAGACCTCATCTCCACAATAAGTCAAAAATCAGCCGGGCGTGGTAGTGCGCGCCTGTAGTTCCAGCGACTTGGAAGGCTGAGGCGGAAGCTGCGGTGGCTGGGAGCGGCCACTGCACTCCAGTCTGGGTGACAGAGTGAGACTCTGACTCAAAAAAATAAACAAATGAATATTTACAGGTGGATAACACATCTTACTCGGGTATGACTTTTCTGACTAGCGACCATGTGGAGAGATCTAGAAAGAGACTCAGGGATTAGAGTCAGAAACTATGGAGAAATCATCTTCTGATTAGTGGGAGAATATAGGTGGGTTCCCCGGCCCCCGCCAGGTCTAGAGCAGAGCAGGTTCTGAAAGTCTTTTATTTATTAATGATTCATTTAAAGAAATGACTTTTCAAAGGCTAACAGTTTTGAAGGAAAGACATGGAATAATAGAAATATACAAACCACTTCTAATCCAACGATCTTATTTTACAGATGAAGACACTGAAGACTAGAAAAGTCTTCTGTTTATAGCTTCTGTTTCTGGTCAAAATGATGTAGCAAAGATCATGTTTACCACTCCACTTAAACTGGACACAAAAAAGATATATATATATATGTGTGTGTGTGTGATTTGCAGACATTTGACATTAGACAACACAGAGCAGTGATCCACAAGATAGGGGAAACAAATAAGTTGAGTACTATGATTTCTCTAACTTCCTGTCTGGCAAGAGTTTCAGGGGTCTAGTGCAGAGAGGGAAATCCAAGCAGAACTTGGCAGTCTTCCTGAGATGAGGAAATTGATCTGGGAATCTGAGAGGATTGAGGCAGCTAGATCTCCAGGGCAGAGCATCAGAGAGAACTGCACAGAGCGTGTAGCAGCAGAGGTCTGAAGGGGGTTCCTTTCAGGTCTTCAGCTGGGTACTACTCAGTGAATGTGTGTGAGGTAACCACCCAGATCCACTGGAGGGGAACAGGTGATACTCCAGGTGTTCACACAGTGCTGCAAATATTTTATGATTCCATTCCCACCAGAGTAGAAAACCTCATAATTCATGAAGCAATAGGTAGAGTACTCAAAGTGTTGCCTCAGTAATGGAGAAAAATAGCCCTAAAATTAAGGTTTCCTGATTCTACCTAATCAAACTATTTCCAAATACCTTAACTGTATTTCAGAATAGTGTTCAAAATTATTCATAGACATACAAAAATATCTAGCACCTAATAAGGTCAAATTCATAATGTCTGCTGTCAAATAAAAAATGATCAGCTAGCCAGGCTCAGTGGCTCAGCCTGTAATAACAGCACTCTGGGAGGCTGAGGCGAGTGGGTTGCCTGAGCCCAGGGATTCGAGACCAGCCTGGGCAACATGGCGAGACCTGTCTCTACAATAAATCAAAAATTAGTTGGGTGTGGTAACGCACACCTGTTGTTCCGGCTACTCGGAAGGCTGAGGCGGAAGGATCGCCTAAGCCCAGCAGGTCGAGGCTGCAGTGGCCGGGAGCGGCCACTGCACTCCAGTCTGGGCGACAGAGTGAGACTCCGACTCAAAAAAAAAAAAAAAAAAAAAAAGATCAGTTATCAAAAACCAGAAAAACAGTACCCATGAAGAGGAAAAAAAAGCAATCAATAGAAAGAGATGTAAGAAGGACACAGATGATAGAGCTAACAGACAAGGGCAATGAAGACATTTGTAATCTACAAGTAAAAAATAGAACATGTTGAGTGGAAACATGGAAAATTTTAAAGGATCCAAACTGGACTTCTAATGATAAAAAAATACCATGTGTATGATGAAAAAAATGCACTGAATGGAATTAATGCCAGAGTAGACACTGTAGAGGAATGAAGTTGTAGCAATAGCAACAATCCAAAATGAAACAGAAAAGATCGAAACAAATAAAGATGGCATAGTGAGCTGCAAGAAAATGTCCAATAACCATACAGACGTATAATTAGAGACACTAAGGGCAGGGATCAAAAAAAATATATTTAAAGAAACATTAGCTCATCCTGAAGTGGATTAGGTGCCGGTGTAGCTGCTAGTGTTGAATTTAGAACCGTAGCTAGACATGGGACTGGAGGACGAACAAAGGATACTGACCGGGTCCAGAGACCCCAAGGAGGAGGAAGAGGAAGAGGAGGAATTAGTGGATCCCCTAATAACAGTGAGAGAGCAAAGCGAGCAGCTGGAGAAATGTGTAAAGGCCCGGGAGCGGCTAGAGCTCTGTGATGAGCATGTATCCTCTCGATCACATACAGAAGAGGACTGCACAGAGGAGCTCTTTGACTTCTTGCATGCAAAGGACCACTGCGTGGCCCACAAACTCTTTAACAGCTTGAAATAAATGTGCAGAGTTGTTTGCACCAGCCTTCATCACCTGGGCATCAGGATATTTCCTTATGGTTTTGAATATGCCATTTGTTTCTATTTGTGTAACTAAGTTCATATGAACCTTATGGATTTTGGCTTAGGCAAATAGCTTCTATGTAATTAGCAGTGATTCCATCTTAATAAAGTTCTGTGACCTAAAAAAAAAAAGAAACATTAGATAAACATTTTCCAAATTTGATAACATTGAAACCCCACAAGTTTCAAGGACTTCAAAGAACCCCAAGCACAAGAAACATATATAAAACTACACAAAAACATATTTTAATGAAATTGCTTAAAATCTATGATAAAGAGAAAATCTTTTTTTTTGAGTTAGAGTCTCACTCTGTCGCCCATACTGGAGTGCAGTGGCATGCTCCTGGCCACCGCAGTCTTGACCTGCTGGGCTCCGGTGATCCTTCCACCTCAGCCTTCCAAGTAACCAGAACTACAGGCGTGTGCTACCACGCCCAGCTAATTTTTGATTTATTGTAGAGATGAGGTCTTGCCAAGTTGCTCGGGTGGGTCTCGAACCCATGGGCTGAGGCAATCTGCTCGCCTCAGCCTCCCAAAATGCTGGATTACAGGCTGAGCCACCAAGCCCAGCCAAGAGAAAATCTTAAAAGTGGCAATAGAAAAAGGACACATGACCTACAAAGAAACAAATATAAACATGACCACAGATTTATTGTCAAAAACAATACAAGTCAAAAGACAATGGAAAAGCTGGGCAGAAGCACATGCCTATAGTCCCAGCTTCACAGGAGGCTGAGAATCACTTGAACCCAGGAGCTCAAGGCTGATGTGAGCTATGATCATGCCACTGCACTCCAGCCTTGACGACAGTGCAATACCCCATCTCTAAAACAAAACAAAAAGACAATGGAACAATACTTTTAAAGCACTGGGAGAAATAAAATAATCAACCTAAAAAATCTCTTAACATGAAAATTTCTTTCAAAAATAAAAGCAAATTGCACAACATTGAACTTGAACGTATTAAATGCCCCTGAATTGTTTGCTATAAAAATAGTTAATTTATGGTATGTGAGTTTTGCCTTAATTTTGAAAAAGTTAAGTAATAATTTTTCAGATATATGAAAACTAAAATAACACCGCACTTGCACCACAGATAATATTGAAGAAAGTCTTTCAGTCAAGATGGAACTAATACCGGTTGCAATTCTGAATCTTCACAAAAGAATGAGGAAGCCAGAAATGGTAAATATGTGTGGAAGGGGATAAAATATCTTTTTAGTCACTTTAAAAGACAACCAATTATTTAAATGGATATATAATAATGTATTTTGAGGTATATAACAAATGTAGAAGTACAATATATGGCAATAGCAGTACAAAGGCCAGGAGACGGGAATGAATGTATGCTATAATAAGGTTTTTATACTACGTGTAAAATGGTACAGTATTGCTTAAAAGTACATTGTGATAAGTTAAAAGTTTATACTATAAACGCTAAAGAAAGCGGGAGTAAAAACTCCTCAAACCAAGAGGCAGATGAAGAGGAAAAAGGTGGCTCAGCCTGCAATCCCGCGCTTTGGGAGGCTGAGGTGAGTGGATTGCCTGAACCCGCGGGTTTGAGACCCGTCTGGGCAACTTGGCGAGACCTCATCTCTACAATAAATCAAAAAATTAGCCGGGCGTGGTAGCGAGCACCTATAGTTCCAACTACTTGGAAGGCTGAGGCGGAAGGATCGCCGGAGCCCAGCAGGTCGTGGCTGCGGTGGCCGGCAGCGGCCACTGCACTCCAGTTTGGGTGACAGTGAGACTCCAACTCAAAAAAAAAAAAAAACACTAATAGTACATGGAGAAAATTAAGAGTGCAATGGTATATCAATAATCACATTAAATATAAATGGTCTGAGCATAGCAATTGAAAGGCAAAGGCTGTCAGAGAGAATAGAAATCAAGCAAGCACCAATTATATACTTTTTACAAGAATGTCTAATATGCATATATGACACTAATTTAAAGAAAGCTGGGTCGGGCTTGGTGGCTCAGCTTGTAATCCCAGCACTTTGGGAAGCCAAGGTGAGTGGATTGCCTGAGCCCGCAGGTTCAAGATCCATCCAGGCAACTTGGCGAGATCTCATCACTGCAATAAATCAAAAATTAGCTGGGCGTAGTAGCACACACCTGTAGTTCCAGCTACTTGGAAGACTGAGGTGGAAGGATCGCCAGAGCACAGCAGGTGGAGACTGTGGTGGCCAGGAGTGGCCAGTGCACTCCAGTCTAGGTGACAGAGTGAGACTCCGACTCAAAAAAAAGAAAAGAAAGAAAGAAAGCTGAAGCAGGTATATTATTATCAGATCAAGTAGATTGTAGAGTAAAGAATAGTACCAGGACATTTAATAATGACAGAGATATCAATTCCTCAGGAAAACATAACAATAATGCACCTACTAACAGAGTTTCAAAATAGATGACACAAAAATATACTACATGCAGGGAGAAATAGAGATATCCACAATTATAGTCTAGGCTTTCAACATTCCACTCTCGATAATTGAACAGGGCAAGGAAACAAACAATCACTAAATATACAGAAGACTTGAAAAACTGTATCAACCAACTTGACATTTATACCACACTCCACCCAACAACAGCAGAATACACATTCTTTACAAGTATATGCAGACATGTACTAGGATAGACCATATTCTGTGCCATAAGATAAGTCTTACTAAATTTAGAAGGATTTAAATTATACCAAGTATTCTTTGACTTTAATAAAATTGAATTAAAAATCCAGAAGTAAATTCACTTATATATAGTCAATTGATTTTTGACAAAAATGTCAAGGCCAGCCGGGCTCAGTGGCTCAGCCTGTAATCCCGCGCCTTTGGGAGGCTGAGGTGAGTGGATTGTCTGAGCCCGTGGGTTCGAGACCCGCCTGGGCAGCGAGACCTCGTCTCTACAATAAATCAAAAAATCAGCCAAGTGTGGTAGCGCATGCCTGTAATTCCTGCTACTTGGAAGGCTAAGGCGGAAGGATCGCCGGAACCCAGCAGGTCGAGGCTGTGGTGGCCGGGAGCGGCCACTGCCCTCCAGTCTGGGCGACAGAGTGAGACTCCAACTCAAAAAAAAAGGAGGGAAAGAAACAGAACTTCAGCCCTTATCTCACATCATATACAAAAATATAGAAACTAAAAGCATAAAACTTCTAGAAAACATAGAGGAAAATATTAGTGACCTTGCATTTAACAAAGATTTCTCAAATATGACACAAAAAAACATGAACTATAGAAGAAAATAATAACAAAGGCATGCATGAAACCTCTGTCAATCTTCTCATGCTTGGTGGTCTCTCTGAATCATGGTAGCCAGATGGCACTCAAGGGTGCCAGGCCACACTTGATTAATGGAACACCAGGGCTGTTCATTCCTCTCCCAAGGTCTATACAAAATCCTTCTTGCTTTCTCCACCTTTCCCTGTGAGTATCCTCATTGTTGTGCTTTAATTTACTTTATTTTTATTATAAAGTATAAGATATATACAAAAAGCTTAAAGAATACCTAAGAGCCCACGACCTAGCTTAACATCCCATTTTTTAAAAATTTTTTTATTTTTCTGAGTTGGAGTCTCACTCTGTCGCCCAGACTGGAGTGCAGTGGCCG